CCTATCCATGCCCATCATGATTTTATAAACCTCTATAAAATCACTCCTCAGCATCCAACGCTCCAGGGAAAATAGCCCCAGCCTACTCAGAGAGTTTCTCAAGAATGGAAATAGATGTCAACAGCTGGAGCAAGGAGAGTGGCCCCTGAGGTAGGTACTGAGCATTGTCTAATTGCTGGGCTGGCTTGGAAGGGCCATGGTTGTTTGGCCCAAATTTTTAGGTAAAAGAGGGCCATTGTGGAGGTAAAAAGTATATTATTTTATATGCTTGTGCAAAGTGTCACCTCACTGTTTTGAGAATTATTTTGTATCAGCAATTGCAAAGGTGGTGGGGTGTGGCTGGGCCCAATTTCAGTCAGGGTGGGGACAGCATTGTGGAGCTGCTGGCTATCACCTCACTGTATTTTGATTTTTGGTTTAGAGCTCATGAGACTCAGATGCAACTATTATTTGGTTTGTTTCCTATTTTTGACACGTCAGCAACAAAGGTGACCACGAAGAATGTGTATTAAACTATGCAGGAGTTGGCTATAATCACGAGACAATTACCTTCTCCAACTGCAACCTATTTCACATCAGCAGCAAACCTTGCTCTCTCATGATACACTCCACACATCGTGCAAAACCATGAGCTAGACTGAGGAATCAGCCTGGAGTAAAGCCAAGGAATAAGGAGCCAAGAAAAGGAGCAAGTGAGAGACCGGGAGCTGGGGACAAGAGAATAGAAATGGGATGGACAGCACCATGGTCAGAAAAAGAAGACAGAAGGAGCAAATTGTGGAGCTGGAGGGATGAATACAAGCTACTCAAGTGTTTAGAACAGACAGGTGTAAGCCATGAACAGACCCCAAAATGATTTAACAAATAGGAGTGCCATGCTGGCTCAGTGGTTAGCGCTGCTGCCTCACCGTACCAAGGAGCTGTGTTTGATTCCAGACTCAGGCGACTGTGTGGAGTTTGTACATTCTCCCCGTGTCTGTGTGGGTTTCCTCCGGGTGCTCCGGTTTCCTGCCACAGTTCGAAGATGTGCAGGTTAGGTGGAATAGCCGTGGGAAATTTGGGTAGGGGGTGGGTGTGGGTCTGGGTAGGATGGTCTTCAGAGGTTGGTGTGGATATGATGTGCTTCCACTCCATAGGGATTCTATGATAAGTTGGTTAATTATAAAGTCTCAAGTTAGCCGGGACAGAGAGGAATTGGAGGAGGCTCCGTGCAGAGAAACTTTGATCCTACACCAGTAGTCACTGCACCTTGCAGCCAGTAAATATACTGACCATAAATTGTGTTGTATAACTTGATGGAGAAGACAGTCCCATTTTTCACATCCCAAAACTTACATTTTTGCATATGTTGGGTGTATAAATGGACCGCCACCTATTTCAGCTATGACATACTGCACTCATGTTTGTGATCTGCCTCAATTTTTTTGCCCCACAGTCAGATGTTTTACTTACCTTTACCTTAAAATGGGGCGTGAGGCAATACAGGTTGCTGAGATAGACAGAGGTTTAAGACACACCTACATTGTGTTGAATGCCAGTGATGTTTCAAAATGGTGCCTGCCCACCCTAGAAGTGGTTTATTTTACAATGGGATTATTGCATGTTCAGTGGTCACCTGACATTTATGGTAACATTTTGCTCCCGACTCAACTCCACTGACAGAGGGAACTTAGCTTGAACGAAACCAACCCAAACTAGTCAAACTCAACCGGCTTCAGCCTGATGGGAATATACTGTCAGACTGACAACCCCACAATTATGTTGAAAACCAACCCAACATCAACCAGTCCCACACTTGAAGAGAGGTGAAGGTAAGGTCACTATAGTCTGAGCAGACCATAGGCCTGCTCTCTCATTAGACAGAGATGGCTGGTGGTGGTTTAGTGTGAGGGGAGAGGTTGGGGAAGGAGAGTCCTTTGAGGTAACCTCAGCCAGAGTGGGAAGAAAACCCAATCTAAGATAACACAGTGTGGAGCTGGATGAACACAGCAGGCCAGGCAGCATCAGAGGAGCAGGAAAGCTGATGTTTCGGATCGGGACCCTTCCTCAGAAATGGGGGAGCGGAAGGGGTCTCGGAAATAAATAGAGAGGGGGTGTCGGGCTGGGGTAGGTAGGTGGGATGGTGATAGGTGAGTGCACTCACCTATCACCATCCCACCTACCTGCACTCACCCATCACCATCCCACCTACC